ATGGATGCGATCGAGCGAACAGATCCACCTTACGGGTTCACTATGCCTCACTTCACTCCGTACAAGGAAGACGAAGATCTGTCTCAACATTTTAAGCATTATTGCAGTACCATGATCCTTTTCAGGAATGACGACGCGCTTATGTGCAAAATTTTTGCCACAACTCTATAAGGCGAAGCACAATACTCATTTCACACCCTACTGCCACAATCGATCCAGAATTTCAACGAACTTTCCTTAGTTTTCACTAAGAAGTATTCGTCTAACCGTTCAATCAAAATGACATCCAACCATCTCTTTAGCATCGTAAAAGACCATTGGGAGACAATTCGTGACTATGTCAAGAGGTTTAAAACGGAGAAGGCCAAGGTTGTTGGCTGCAACGACAGCATTCAGAAATGGGCTTCCCACCGAACACCCTTTATTCAAAAAACTGATCATGGGAGAAGAACGAACCCTAGCAGTTTCGTATGCTTTGGCAAAAAAGCACACACTATGGGACGAGGCAAACCAGTCTAACAAAAACGAGTTGGAAAATAAGCGCATAGAACGTTCCCCAACCAGAGAAGACTCAGCGCCCAAAACATTCACCAAGTTCATAGTTCCAATCGGCCAAATTCTCCGCAAGCTCAAGAACGAACCTTGGTTCAAACTGCCACCACCCATGAAAGCGATCTTACCAGGCTGGATCATACAAAGTATTGCGCATTCCATTAAGGGCCGAGCCACACTACCAACGGCTGCCTAAAGAGGAAGCAGTACCTTGAGAAACTGACAAATGAGGGCCGATGCGATGAGTATCTTGACAGGTCAACAATATGGCCTGCACAAGTAGGGGAAGTCTCCATCACCCCTGAACCCCGTTAGGGCTTTTCCAAATAAGTTTGAAGTCTCAAGCAACTTGACGAACAAAGCCTCACAAGCCGAAGATTATCCAGTTTGTTATGCAATTTCTACCTTCCATCACAGTTGATTCATTTCTTTATTCTCAATGGAGATTCAAGAAGTTATTCATAAGCCTGGCTCAATTGTTGTCTACGACAACTGCTCAAACCCCTATCTGGGTATGTTCTTCAGTGCGAGAGGATAAACTAATTACTCTCCAGTGCAAGAAGGTAAACCAATTCCTCGACACCGATATGGGTAAGCTTTTCAGTGCAAGAGGGTAAACTAATTGCTCTTCAGTGCGAAAGGCTAAACTAATTGATCTCTAGTGCGATAGGGTAAACTAATTCCCTGACACCCATCTGGGTAAGCTCTCCAGTGCAAGAAGGCCACATAGCTAAAAAGATCAAATGCTTGAAAACTAACTAAGCAACAAATGGTCAGGGGGCAACAGCCACTTTGCACCCAACAGTTCGCTCATTCGACACTTCATCTTCAACAGCTTCGATCTTGGCAGCTCCATCCTTGACTACTCCATCTACGACAGTTAAGAGATCAAACTCAAACAGTTTCCTCATTTTTGGTAAGCAGCCTAGACGTGGCAGCCCAAACCATGGCCCCTGCCACACCTCCTCTTTGGCCCATGCCAAGCTGACTTTTGGCCCCTGCCAACCGACGTGCCGCACCACCCAAGAAAAAGACAAGGAAAATTAAGTTTTTCTTACATCGATGCGGCACGGAGAAGACAAAGAAATCAACGAAAGACGATTATTTGCACGAGCAAGCAAAAAAGAGTGCTAAGGGAGGGGGAACAAATATCCTTTAGCTTTCTCTCTTTCTTGTAGGCCTAAATAATTGCCCTCTGAAGTTGATTTAATCCCCTACTTAAGGTAGGCCTAAATAGGCTTTAGAGGCGATTTATTTCCCTTTCCTAGAAGAATCTAATTCCAAGTCCAAGTGGAAATCTGCATCAAAGTTGAAGATCTCTACACCTGCTGCCATTTCTTGCAAGCAGCCCAACAGGTGTGGGGGCATTTGTGGAGCCAAAAATAATCGAGAAAAATATGGAGGCGACACGTGGATTCTAGGGTAAACAAAAAAACAAAATTACCCTCGAGGCACACCGAAGCTTCTACGCACACCGAAGCTTCTACGCACAAGCAACAGACAATCAAGGTCAAAAGTGATCAAAATAGGTATTTATTCAAAACCTATTTCATCCATCCTCATCAAATCTCCCTAACAAGGTAACTCCCAAATTATTTCTTGTAAATTATATTAATTAGCTTATTTATTTATTTATCACTCAATTAATTTATTAATTAGCTAATTAATTGTAAATTACACCCAAAAAACCACTAAAGTGGTCGGTTCCCATCTCTCCCAAAAGGGCCGGCCACACCCCTATAAATACCACCCCATTTTCTCCAAAAACCTAAGTTCAACACTCTTGCAAAACTTTCCAAATTCTCTAAACACTTTTCCCTCAAATTCTAACTTTGGTATCGGAGGTTCTTCAGCCAAAGCCCCCCCCCCCAAATTCATCGTGGGCGCATGAGGCTCTTGCCCTTGACCAAAGATGCTAATTATTTTGTAGGTGCAATTTTGTCCAAGAAGAAGAAAGTGGAAATTTGCATCCACACATTCCCTGGTTCTCTTGTGTCCTACTCTCAAAGCTATGCCTTAAGTAAAGACATTGGTAGTGAATTCCCCCATACATTTCATCATGTGCATCACATCTATCCTCTTTTTTTTTTTTTTTTTTTACGTATACATATAAGAAAATGAAACGTGTACTGTAGGATTATAAGTTGCAGAAACTTTACACATGTCAAAGGAAATCCAAAGAGACTTGTTGCGGTTCCTAAAATGGATGAGACATACATAATTGGAGGGAGGTCAAGACGTAATGTACCAACAAAGACTAACCACCATCATTTTCCTGTGGAGTAATTTATTTATGTCATGGATGAGCAACTTGTGGAATTAGATGGATGTTTTGATAAGTTAAATACTAAGTTGTTTATTTGTTTCACATTTTGAGTTCGAATGTTAGTTTATCTTTATCTTTCTCAATTTTTTTTTAAAATTAAATATTTTCTCAATTACATGGGATTATTACTTTCGTGAAGAAGATTGTGGAGAAAGGGTTTATCATGTATATTTTCTTGTTGCATTGACTTTAGTTTTACTTGCTACAACTGCTTTAAGGGTATATAATCTCTTAATTGGAGGGACGTCATTGTTAAAGTTGGGACATTTTTCCACCCCTCAAAATAGTATAGGCCAAGAAAAAGACTTAGAAAAGTCCAAGAAAGATCAAGGCCCAAAAAAGGAAAAGAAGTCCAATGTCCAATGGAATTAGAAAGGAGCATTTCCGAGCGCTATAGCCGACCACTCACCAGTCAAGTTTGACTAAATAACATAGAGAACTTTCCGACCGACATGAGCACATGGGTAAACTAACAATTTTATGACACAAGGCTCCAAGAACAGGCCTAACACCAACCTAGGCCACGTGTCAATCACCATTGAAGATAGAAACCTTGGATGAGATGTAAAGGCTGCTGGACCTGAATATTTTTAACATTATCTCACCAAACCCCTTTTCTATCGAAACTCTATCTCCGTCAGATTTCAGCCACTTCGACTTGGACTAAGACTCTGAACCTAGTCCCCTTAGGCGCCTAATTCATTCCTTATTTGATCAACCACAGGTTTTGATTCTTGGAAAAATTCGATTTTTATCAAAACCCATTCTAATCCTTTAACAATTCTAACTCAATTAGGACTCGTCCAAACCATTATCACAATCTGACCCCTTAACAATCCCATTCCACTTGGATTCAGTCGAATCGTTAGCATTCCATTTCCGAGCTGAGAAAGTCACAAGGACTAAATATTTATTATTGGGCCGAGATTCACTTCTTGGTTTATTTCCTCTTGGCCCAAATCCCATATTCTAGGCCCAAATAATAACGCAACATTTTCAAAATATGAAAATTCGTCTTGGATAATAATAACTTTTAATGTTGTAAATAAGGTGACATCCCGAATTGGTGAGAACTTATCAACCAATGCTACCACAATAACTAGATTACAATTTTTTCGCACCAGTTGCATATCTTCCTCATTTGCAATCAACAATAACAGATTATCTGAAACAATTAATTCGAAGCTCATGAGAATAAATCTTGCCCTAGAGTAACCAAAGAAGGTTGAAGAATTTGGTACATCTCATACTCACAGTAACACGGGATAAGGTTAAAAATAAAAAGTTGCAAGTCCATTGATTGAGACTCGCCTTTTGGTACGCGACAGGTCCAGTTGAAGCTAATATAAAGAAGACAAACTTACAGCATGCATGCAATCTTGCTGTAAATGTTTCTTTCATTAATGCTTTAATGTTTTACTATGTGGTTAACATTTGATTAATGATCCATAGAATGAAATATTTTCATATCTTTTTCTTTTAAGTTTTAACACATAAATAATAAAAGTGTAGATAATATAGTCTGTATTAAAAAAAATTAGTATAAGTGTTTTGATGTTAAAAGGAGAAAATCTCTAGTCGAAATTTTATCTTTTCCATTTTCCTTGTGTGTTTGCATTTTCGTATTTCTTTGCTTCAGAAATTTTAGTATGAAGTCTTTGAGAAAAAGAGAAATTTAGTATAAGTTTATATTCTCAAATTCTTTATTTCCCTTTGTCGTGAAGTGTAAAGCATGTGATAGTCCTGCTTTAATTTTCTTTCTTTTTCGGTAAATGATGGTGCTGCTTTTTTTGGTCAGACAAATGATGGTGCTGCTTAAGAATGAAAGAACCCTATCACCTACGGTGAAATATAGAATTGCATATAGCAAGGATCACCTCATACTTTTGGTTAAAGTTTTAGGATTTTATAATCTATATGTCATTTTATATTTTATTTTCTAGTTTATGTATTCTAATAAAATTATGTATTTTATGTATAAACATACACTTATTTATATGATATATAATAAATTTATATAAATCTGTCTAGTCCACCTAAGTCCCGCCTAACCACCTTGATGCCAGACTCTAACCTACTGCCCATTTAACGGCTAATGTCTTTTAAAATCTTGGCAAAAACATTGAGAAACCAAATTGGCTTTCCGTTGATATATATAAGTAGGAATAATATATTTGATCAGAATCTTGGAGATTGATAGGAAGGAGGGACATGCTTTTTTTGTTGCTTTCTTTTGTGTCTTTCTTGTCTCCTTGTCTTTCTTTAGCTCTGCCTTTACTCTTCTTTTTCTTTTTTTTCTTTGTCCCTCTGATTTCATGAGCGCGGTACCTGATTCTCATCTCTCCCATGGCAGCCCCCATTCATCCAGACATCAGAGACATAACACACACATATATATGATTTTAAAAACATGGAAATTGAATTAGGTTTAATTTGATTTAATTATTTCCCTATTCAATTTCAATGTGACCTGCCCAAAGTGAACTCCAAATTGGGCTTCCTGGGGCTTAAGCTTGTCCCTCCTGCTGAAATGTTTGTTGAGGAGCTGCTTACATCTGATATTCTCTCATAGCTTAATCCTTTCGGATCCATCATGTTCAGGTCCTCCCTCTGAAACAAAAGATTTATATAAAATTATAAATAAATACACAAAAAGATAAAAAGCCAAACAAAAGATCTGTGTGAACTGTGAAGGCGGGAATCAAAGGACATTTGACTACTCTCACAGGGAATAATTGAATACTAATTTATCAAGGGGAAGTGAAACTTTGAAAGAGTACACTAGACAGTAGAAAGCCTGCACAAACTGAGCAACTCCCATAACATTATTCTCTCTATAGCTATAGCACCTTAAATCTTCATCAATTTTCATTTGTATATATATTTATTTAGGGTTAAACTCAGTTTACTACCCTCAAGTTTCGTGGTTTTCAACATTTAGTACATCAAGTTTTTTTCGTTCCAGAGTCATACCTAAAGTGTTAAATTTGGGACAGTCTCATACATCCGTTAGTCAAACTGTTAACTCTACCGTTAAATGATGACGCGGCGCCCATGTGGACAATGACTGGGCGCCACGTGTCATTAAAAAAATTTAAAAATTAAAATAATTAAAATTTTAATTAAATAAAGTGCTTAAAAAAAAAACATAAAAAAACCAAAACCCCCCTTTTTTCCTTCTGGAAGACCCTCCACGGTTCCACCTCTCCACCCCTCCACCCCCTTCGTCTTCTCCATTCCCTCCACCCCCTTCGTCTTCTCCATCCCCTCCACAGACAGAACCAAAACCGAAACCATGGGCTGTGAGAAGAGTGAGAGTTTCAATGGCGACACTATGGGCTGTGAGAGCCGAGCTCCCCAAAGGTCCTGATCTGTGCGCTGACCGCTCCATTCTGCAAAATGGGTCTTCCTCCGCTCGCCATCGCGACCTCGTTTTCGTCGTCAATCCCAGCGGTCTCTCTCTTTCTCTATCTCTCTGTTTCTCTGTTTTTATAAGTTTTGTGGGTGTGTTTTTATGATTTTTGTGGGTTATTGAAATGGGAAATTGGAGCAGGTGTAAATGGGAGGACAGGGAAGGAGTGGAAGAAGCTGCTTCCATAGATCCGTGGTCTTTGAGGCGGCGCATTGGGATAGGGTGGTAGGGGGTGTGGAAGTGCAGAGGGAGAAGGGAGGGGGGTCGGGGTGGGGAAGACAAAGGATTGATTAGCTAATTAGTGTTGTTAATTGCGCTCTGTAGCATCCGGCGAAGAAGATCCCGTAGACGATTGAGAACACCAGGGAAATCGATAAGACTATTTGCAAGCCCGACGATGAAGAGGTTCGTTTTTGCCCTTTTCGATTGTGTTTTATTGGCTTACAATGTAGCAAATGTGGAAAGATTTGTTTTTATGCGTGGAAAATTGAATGATGGTTTGGTTAATTTTGGTTTTGTGTTGTGTGTTGGTTTGCAGTTGTTTGCTGAAATGCCGATGAATTCAGGGGATCTGGGGAGAAGGGGGAAGGATGGATGTGCGGATGTGCAGAGGGAGAAGGGAGGGGGGTCGGGGTGGGGAAGACAAAGGGGATCTGCGGATTTTTTTTTTTTTTTACTTTATTTAATTAATTATTTTAATAGTTTTTTTTAATGACACATGGCGCCCAGTCATTGTCCACGTGGGCGCCACGTCATCATTTAATGGCAGAGTTAACAGATTGACTAACAGATGTATGAGACTGTCCCAAAATTAACACTTTAGGTATGACTCTGGGACGAAAAAAACTTGATGTACTAAATGTTGAAAACCATGAAACTTGAGAGTAGTAAACTGAGTTTAACCCATTTATTTATTTATTGGAAACTTCATGTGATATCTTTTGACAATGCTATCATTGTTATTATATATAATTCATCTCGTGACACTAGCTAGTCTCCAATTTCATGCATGATCAACCTATGGGGCTCGTGAGTCAATTGGATTAGGTTTTTGGTCTAGGGCTAGGAGTTTATAAATTGTTGTGATGAATGAGAGAGTTTGCTGTAATTTTATGCAAATAAATGGGAGAATAGGCTTCACCTTGTACTTATTTATATATTTACCTTTTTTCACTAGTGGAAAGGAGATTTACATGGAAAATATATATACTGAGAATAATGAACAAGCTTTTACATATCACAAGGACTCTATATTTTTAACCGGGACATGTGAAATATGACAGATTAACCCTTCAATTTTTAAGGGAACCAGCTTTTGGAAAGCCTATGTATCCCTTTTATCCTCTCTATGAGTAATCTGCACGACTTGATGGAGAACAATGAAAAGAACTACCTTTAATCTGTTCATTGATTCCCATGGCATGACATCTATACACATACGTATAATTGATATATACATGAAAAGCGTAAAATATTGCAAGGTAAATCTTAACATACATATGCTTGGAAATACGTACATAAATGCAAAAAGTATTGAATTGGTACCTCCTGATCATCGAGAGACGTTATAATATTTGCAGATGCAGAATCATTTGGGTTTGCATGCAACCAAGCTTCTCTGCTGCAAACCAACAGATTGAAAGAATATTATCTATCAGTGGAAGCCATGCATGCAGATGAAAAAGCAAACTGAGAGAGAAAAAAAAAAGGCAATCTTTTACTGCTGTCTTGTTTATAGTTATAGATCCTCTCTCCCCGCTCGCACTTTAGTCTTTGCATTTGTGCTGATTGAAATAAAGTTGAATTCCCATGTGACATGCATTCACTAACAAATGAATATATGAATGTAGCTACCAATTCACAAACTACAAGAAACTTTCAAAGGGGGTACAGCTTTGGCACAAAGATTTCGGCTAGGGTTTACCTTTGGCCCTAAGTTTTCCGCCACTTTTGATAATATATGCATGCATATCTCTCTCTCTCTCTCTCTCTCTCTCTCTACATACATACATATATACATAGCTCTATATCCAAGCCCCACAAAATCAAGGAAAGAGATATCTCAATCGATTTTTGATAGTCAAATGAGAGCCCCAAATCTTGGAAATTGGAAACCCTAGCTAGGAGGTTTCTTTGGGTCAAGATCACTCAAGTGTGGGTGGGTTTCTTTTTAATTTCTTTTTACCATGCACCCACAGCCCACTTGATGAAAGAGGTTATAATTACCCCATCATGATCTTTGATATGAAGTTTCAGTCAATTTTCAAGCATGTCTCTGCGGTGGACTGAGACTGACAAAAATGAAATCATCATCATTACTTGTTATTTTTGTGATTTCTTTCTTGCATGCCACAATATATGAGCGCCACGCATGCATATTTAATTAATGTTTAAACAATTACACAAGGCAACCTAGACAACAACAAAACATGTATACATTGAAATATTTTTTCTCTTTTATGCACTCGGGTTTATTTTTATCCCTTAATTATTCTTTTATTGACTCAAACCAAAGGCTAAAAATAATATAGTGATGTGTAAGTGGACAAAAAAGCGCACGAAATGACTTTATTAATGTTTTTGAAGGATAAACTGTATCATTTGAGTAATGGTCAAGTCTGAAATTGGTTATTAATTATGGACATGCAATCAGGATTTATCGTTCCAGCTGGCCATTCTATGAATTATCATCAACAAACAACTAGTAAATGAATAAGGTAAATTAAAATAGAGAAAAGCGACATGCAGCGCTCCCTTTTGTAGGTCTCTGTGGAAAAATTGCTCCAGAGGCCGTATGCAGTACTAATATGCAATTTAATTAGCTTTTAATTAGAGTGCTACCTTGAAGAATTGCTCCAGAGGCCGTAGTACTCCTTATTATTTTGAACAGTAGTCGATCTTGAACCCTGCTGAGGTGATGGTAGCTGCTCACAAGACCTTCTTGGGTTCTGAAGTTCATACATTATGTCTTCAGTGGTGTCCCCAGATGAAGCATTTTCATATACATCACTTTGTCCTGTACCACAAAACAATCAAATTAATTCATGCTAAGAATCCCTTAAGATAATTTTAATGTGCCACATTTAAATTTTCTGGAAAAAGTAGAGACATTATTAACCTGAAGAGGCCGCTGCTTTATCAGTGGTTTTCACCGTCCGGTACATCTGCAATGTTTGGAACTCATATTAATAAATAAATAATCATTTACATTAGCATAGGCAATGCATCATTACACTAATAATTTGGGACATAATTTGACCAACTAAAAAACTAATTTATAACAGATATGTATACATGTCCGAACACAATGCAAGTACATACAGAAACATTGATATGGATGATGTTGCAAAATTCCATTATTCATGTATGAATGTATGTCTATGTATGTATGTATATTGAATATGTGGGTCAAATAACTTGTTGGAGCAGTATTAGAAAATATGAAAATAACACAAGAATTCCAATAATAATAATCATAAAGAAATTCACAACATCAATTATATATGAGAGTAATATAAACAACTAGAGAGAAAGTTAGAAATACTAACAAACTTAGAGATTGAGGCTTGCACAAATACAATGTCCTAAAGACAGAATTTCGCCCCTACTCTTGTGCTTGTAGTTCGGTAGGCCCAGAATTCAACAATCTATAATCCGAAGTCAAAGCACTTCAATATTCAGACTTTGGTGAACTTTATATATTTCGTACCATCAAGACATGACTCAGAAGACAAATGAAGAATGAGAGAAATAGAGTGGGGAAACCCTATTTCTCAAGAGTAATTAATTATGTTATTTTCTATATTTAATGATAATGGTTTCATAAGTTTATATAGAACCCAAGTACTTCTTGTTAAAGAGATGTAACTTTTCATCTATAAGTATACATCATTTGACAAGGGAATGCACCTAAATAACATAACATTTCTAAGAAATATGGTTAACACTATTTTTCATTTAATTATTAAAATTATAAAGTAAGAAAGACTAACAGACTTGGAGATTGAGACTTGCATAAATGCAATGTCCTAAAGACAGAATTTCGCCCCTACTCTTGTGCTTGTAGTTCAGTAGGCGTTCGTCTCCCAGAATTCAACAATCTATAATCCGAAGTCAAAGAACTTCAATCTTCGTACTCTAGCGAATTTCATATATTTCGTACTCTTAAGACATAACTCGGAGTTTGACTAACAAAAAATAAAAGACATTGGAGAAAACTCTTCTTTTTTTCTTTCTGATTCATTAGACAAGTGGGATGTTTAAGTTTATATAGAACTCAAGCCACCTATTTTAAAACATTGTGACTGTTGCCTAAAGTTCCAATAAATAGACACAACTCATGAATTTGAATTTAACTATAACACTTTACCCTTATTTTTCATTTATACAGAAATTAAATATTATAAATTAATGTTATAATATATAATTTCCAACATAACTAAGGTTAGAAATGCAGGACAGGTGTGGTTAGAATGGAACCCATATATGGATCCGATCTGCAAAAGATATCATTGAGAAATGATGATGTTTCTGTACTTGTCTATTTGTTTCTTTTTCTTTATATATATTTGTTTAATAATAATATATCCTAATAAATACAAAAGATAGATTGATGGATGGAGTGTTTTAAGCTTGACTTCATTTTGAATTTCTTGGGTTTTGTCTTACTCGATTTCTAAAATCGATGCATACATCTCACATCTCAGAAGTCAGTAGCATACTCTTTTTCTCTTTCTCTCCTATTCTTTTTCTCTCTGCAGAGGGGAGATGGCAGAGAGGAGAGAGAGAGAAAGCATTGATTATTTATCTCTCTAACTTGGGATGGACTGTTCATTCTTCCAAGTAAACAGCCGTTCATTATGAGCTTGCAGAAGAAGCAGAACCATCAGATCTAATCTATCTATCGTTAATCTATCGCAAGTAGAAAGAAAACAGTCTCTTCTGCACTGCACAAAAACAACACCATTGGAGTTTGGCGCGAGCACACACACATTTATATTTTAATTCAATAATAAATAACACATAGCTAGCACCTTCTTAATGTATAATATTAACTAACTAATGTAGTTTTATAACATTTCAAACTGAGAGAGAGGCCTGCAATCAAGTTAATTGAGAGGTGACACATCTTCAAGAACTAATTAATTAAGATGGAAGCTAGAACAAAAGCCAAACATGCATGCTAGCTAGCTATATACACAAATGCAGTTAAAGGTTCCATAGCTACCTATTTCACAAAATTAGAAGAAGAAGACAGGTATAATGAAAGAATTAAAGATAGGTTGTTACCTGTAAGTGAGATTTAACATGTGCCAAGGTGAGATCTTTGACATCCATTAGCTCAAGAACTGACTTTGGTGTTGCCCCTTATCATAATTAAATTAAAACCCACTAAATTAATAATTGAATTTAACAGAAGAAAAAAAGAAGAAGAAAATAATTGGTGAGTGAGTGAGGGGAGTGAGAGAGTGAGTACTGACTTTCATGGCCACCCAAAAGCTCAACTGCATGAACAAAGCGGGAATGAAGAGTAGTAGTCCAACGCATCCGAGGGGCTCTCATGCTTCGTTTGGCCGGAAACCGAGAGAAAATTTGGGATCTTAGAAGACCACCATGATGACCTTGACGATGATGATGATAAGCAGCTGCTTGAAATAGTGGGGTTGAACTAGAAATTGTAGAGGTAGAGGTTGCGGAATTATTATCGAAATTAACCGGCTTTTGTGAAGAAGAAAATGGGAAGAAATTATTAGGAGGAGGAGGAGGATGAGGGTTTTGATAGAGTGGAATTCCTCTAATGGGTCTCAAACACCCAAGCAGCTCTTCCGATTGCTGTAATTGTTGTTGCACATCTGCTTGGGGAACTTGTGGAAAGTAATGGCTTTGCTGAAACTGAAAGGGATGGAAAAGATTGCCATTACCACCATTACAGCTAGTACTGGTTTTAATATTACTGCAGTGGTGGGGACGATGATTGGTGTTCAAAAGCTCATCGAAGGTGGAGTTTCGGGATTTCAAGGCTCTCTTCCAAAACCCCAAATCCATCTCCTCCTGATGACTATGATGACTGCTTCTCCTCCAACTAGTTGATGAGGAGGAGGACAAGGGTTTGCTGTTTGGAGGGCTAATTTGTAGAGATAAGTCTGGTTGTGCAGGGAACAGCTCCATCAATAATTGATCTCCCCACCTCCTTCTCTAAATTTCCTTCTCCCAAGCCCTATGTAGATATGTGTGTGTGTGTGTGTGTGTGTGTGTGTGTGTGTGTGTGTGTGTGTGTGTGTAGCTTGTTTATGATTCCCTCCTGTATGTCTATGAGCACTTTCTTCTTCCTTGTGCTGGGAAATAACAGTGTGTGTTTGTATATATGTATTGTGTGAGCTAGTCAGCTAGCTTCCTTGGTGATCTGATTAGGGTTAGGGATTTTCAGGTGTTGGAGGGATTTCTGGGTATTTTTAGTAGATGGGTTTTGATCAATTTGTGTGGGGGTAGTTGCAGAGAGATTTCACATTGAGATGAGAGAGAGAGAGAGAGGGGGAAGAAATGACAAGTTATGAAGTGAATGGATGTTTCTTTTGTGTGAAGTATATGTGAGAAAATGACCCTTGAGGGGCTCTATAGAAAGAGAAATTAAGAGAGAGAGAGAGAGAGAGAGAGAGAGAGAGAGAGAAGGGAAGGTGTTTGATTATTTTGTGGACGTGGGGTTAGGGTACTACTACTAGCTAGGGTAAGAAAGTAAGATAAAGAGAAATAGTAAATAAAGTTTGAGACATTTTTTCTTTCTAATCACTTTTGAGACATTTTTTCTTTCTAATCACTTGATTCCTTTATCGCTATACCTCTTTCTATTCTTTTTTTTTTTTTTTTTTTTTTTTTTTTTTTTTTTTTTTTTTTGTAAATAAAAGAAGGGGTGGTTTGGATTTGGATTTGGGGTATTGTGTATAAAAGTAGTGTTACCTCTTTTCTTTAGAGGAGAAAGTAAAAAAGGAAAAAGGAAGCCAAAAAAGAAAATTTGAGTGTAAATGAACTTTAACGTATGCATATGCCCCTTCCTCAACAACTCATACTTGTAAAAAAATTTCTAACCCCCACGCGCAAACAGAGTCTTTGAGCAAAAACCTTTGGTTTGTTTGTGCTCCTTTTGCAAACCCTAAATTGAACACGCCCACACGCATCATGATTGTACACTGATTTCCACATCCTATGGTGTAGAATAATTGTCTCCAATTTTCTCCAAATTCAGTCTTTATTTGTTTCGTTCAGTCACCAAAGAGTCATGATCATTTAACTATAAAAATTAAGGATAATGTTAGGGAGACCAAATTTTTAAACCAAATTATGTAAACCAAATGATGTGGATGTTGATAATTGGATTATTACTTAAGTGTTAATAACATGCTTATTTCCTATTGGTGACACATCATTTGGTTTAAAATTTTGGTCTCCAGCATTATCCAAATATTAAACACCCAACATTATCATTTAGTCTCCCTAGCATTACTCTTCAGTATTGGATAATATTTAGCTACTTTTTTTCTAGAATTTGAAGTCTTATTATACCTTCTTTTTTTCATGGTATATACCGGTCCAGGATATCCAAATATTAAACACCCAACATTATCATTTAGTCTCCCTAGCATTACTCTTCAGTATTGGATAATATTTAGCTACTTTTTTTCTAGAATTTGAAGTCTTATTATACCTTCTTTTTTTCATGGTATATACCGGTCCAGGAAACCAATAGTTGGATTTTCATATAGGGATCTAATGGACCTTTGCAAAGTTAATTAGATCTTTGAATAAAACTCATGTCATTGAGTGATAAGGTACCATTGCAGCTAGACTTCCAATTAATTTTCATGGTACGTACCACTAAGAGTCCAAAAGACTAATAGCTAGATCTTGCACATAGGGATTTAATAGATCATGGCCTCTTGGGTTGTCGCTAAGCAGAGGTGGGAAACAAACAAAACCCAAAATTTGGATCTAGTTCTTCTCCAAGAGGTGAATTTTGGGGTGGCAATTTTGGGATTTTGGGCTTAGGGGTGGGAATTTAAGATTGGTACCTACCCCAAAAGGATAAGGTTGTAAGTGGAGAGAAGCCTACATGAAGATAAGCAGCAAACGCCAGCCCATGCAACTTCATGCGAGTCAGCAACCTAGGGTGGTGGGATTGGTTGCGGGCAAGCTCACCAATAACAAACTTTCTACGACTCAGATGTGCGCACGGTCAGATCCAGTGGCTGATGCGCCTTCTAGGTTCTGTTGAGATTACCCTAAATTCAAAATTACATGTCCACATGCCATAAAGAATCCTTGGGAGAATGGCTTTTGCTGTTGTTAGGATCAGTTTTAGATTTTTTTATGGCTGAATCATCTGGGAGAATGGCCATAAATACATCATCATATTGGGACATCGCGTTCGAATGTCCAACGGCCGAATTTAAAATGGTCATTTTGTCTGTTAAGCTTTATTTGATCTTGCCAATTGCTTGAGCCTTCTTATATTCTTGGCGTTGAAAAAAAAATTATGGCCTTCCGGGTGTCTAAGTACACATATAGGAGATCGACCTGTGCATTCTCCTCTTTAGTAAGGCCAAACAAAGAGACAACCAAAAATACGTGAAATGACCACGTAAATACCGCATATCATCCAAAGAAAAGTGTAACTCTACTAGATCAATGTCGGAATATGGTTCGACTTCAAAACCCAAAGCGCCATCTTTGCGAATATGCTTGAACCTCGTTTTCATGGCTGGATCTGACCGTATTTGAATGATATGTTCGGCAGCTGGACTTATTAAAGCCAAGTCAATATATTTCTGGCATTCTATGGGAAGACCATATAAGGCATTAGCAGAATATCTTTTGTGAAACTTCCGCATATAGGCCAATGCCTCACCGGAAAAGGTGGATTTCAGTTACGCCGAACCTTGATCAATGGATCTTGTGGCGTTGGTATGTGAACTTTCTCTTCAACTTCCTTTCTTAAGTACTTAATGCGAGCTTTCATCTCTCCAAGCCAAAGCAATAGTTTGATTTGTTTCTTAAATTCCTCAATCTTCGCTTCAAAAGTCATCGTCTCTGGTTTCTTCACTTCGGCGATTTCTGTCAAAATTGTAAGGATAAGATCAGCATGATCTTCCTATTTGTTCGCCTTGGGTTTCCAAGTAGGCGTGGCTCGAGCATTTTGGGCTGCTTGGGCACGACGCCAAGCATTACAACCATTACGTTGTTGCCTTCACTTCTGGGATATATACATGATCGTGTGGGCTCCAACAAGTAGATTATATCCATTTCATTAATGGTGCCTCAGTTTTAGTGGCTTGAAGTTTCTCAGTACGGATGAGAAACTGGAATTGACAAACCTTTGGACAAAGTATTCTTCGTCGTAGAATGGCCCATCAAAGTTAAGCTTTTGTCGGACCGAAAGCTTCTGTTTGGTGGACTGGGGACCTAGTCTACCAAAGACTCCCCTTTGGTCTGATCCTAGACTTTGGCTACATGGTTGAGACTCAACCACCGAACCATCGTGTTTTTCTTCAAATGGTGCCCCTGATTAGGACGAAATCCATCTTAGCAACGCTGTACTTTTAGACCGACTATAGTTATAATTAGCCATTCGGAATTGAACTCAACTCATGTATAAAGTTGATCAAATATGTTGAGTTTGGTTACATCTTTGGTGGTTCATTCTGGGATAAGTCAATCTTCAATCTTTGTTGAGAGTTTTGCTTAGGGACGTGATGCATTTTGATAAACTCCCTTATTATTTTTTGCAAATGTTTCTTCGGTAGGCAAGCATCGACCATGTTTGTTGTTGCATCCGGGAATGGGTTTGTGTCAACCAATACTTGGGTTTTCTCAGGAAATTTTAACTTTCCATTAACTAAGTCTGGATGGCATCTCTGAACATCATAGTTGTTGGTCGCATTTTTGGCAGAGTTGGGATACTTGCAATATACTTTGCCTTTCAGGTCTTCGACTTTCGGTATATTATGCATGGGTTGAAGCTTAATTATCTTGGTTGCCAATAGCTGGTTGAAAATTGCATCAGCCTTAGTAATATTAAAGTATAAACCTTTGGTGTCTTTATCACAGCTTCGGCCGAAGCAGTATGAGTTATTGTATCCTCAATGTTAGCATGAGTTAATGCCTTGTACACAAATGGTTTGTCGATCACAATTTTGGCTGCATCAGCACTAGCATACTGAGCCTTAGTATCGTTGGTCGAAGCATAACTCACACTTGGATTTTTGTACATAATCGCCTATGATGAGGTCTTTGTATTGTTTTCTTTCCTGAGCAAAGAGTCATATTGTTCCAGATGTTCAACCAACTCATACATATCCTGAAAGTTCATGCCGAGGAACTTTTTCTATAACTCCATATTCAGGCTGGTCTGAGCTACCCACACATACTAAGCCTCAAGAAAGCGTACTCGGCACCAATTATTAGCTACTTTGAATCTATATAGGTATTGGGCCGAAGATTCATCGGATACCTGGGCCATCCTGGTTAATGAAGAGGTTGAAACCTCCATTCCAAGTCTATGAAACTGTTCGTGGAGCTTTCTTGCCAAGTTATCCCAAGTCTGCATTGAATTTGGTGACAAATTGATGTTCCAAGAGAACGATGTTGCCGTCAAAGAATAGTTAAACAAGAATAACCTACGATAGTCATGGTTGATTAGGCTTGACTCGTCATCGAAGAGGCTATAATCAAGAATCTTGAATCCTCATGATACTCGAACTTCTCAACATACGGCAGATACGAGTGAATGTACTTGGGGATCTTCAGCCCTCTTTTCGTGGCTGAGTTTATCATCTACTAGACTTCTTCTAAGTCGATGGCTGGGGATTCTCCTTTGTAACCAGTGGTGAGTCTTCCCCGATTAGAGGTGGGTTATGAGTAGGTTTAGGATTAGCCCTGTCACTGTTGAGGTCGATCTGGATAGGTAAAAACTTAGGTATCTCCTTTCTTGGGAGAATTTTCTTTTTCTACAGAAGAAAATTATGTGTTTATCTTTCGGTAGTAGTTCTGCTTTCCCAATACCCTTTTACAAACAATTCTAGCCAACGATTGGCCCCCTGGTGGCAAGAATTTTCCTGTTCTTGTTTGAGACTCAAGTGGCCAATCTCACGCTTAAGGATGATCTCAAGATGTCGAGTATGTTCTTGAAGTTTACGCCGAAAAAATGTTTTTTGGCAGAAGATCTGATGTGTCATCATTATCGTTGGCACATCCTCAAGTATTCCTTCTGGAAGGCCGACGTCGGCAGGCTAAGTGATTTGAGTGATAACTGTAGCCAAATGTCTCTGCCCGTCAAGTTTAATTTCCACTTCTCGGCGTGTACAATTTCAGCAGTGACGACAACAGGTAGATCTTGTGTCGTTTTTGTAATTATGGGTATTACCATTTGGTTCACGGATGTTTGATTTCCGGTTACTTTTCCCATCATTGGCTTTTTCTTGATGTTGCGTGTTTCGATGGTCATGAACTTTGTAGTTATTTAGGATTAAGTCCCACTAAGAGTACCAAAATGTTGACCTTAAAAACTATTTAGCCTACGTGGCATGTAGGCCAAATAACTAATTAGCT